TCAGGCTTTCTTATTAACTAATTCTTATACCTAAATTAGCCCATAATTCTTGTTTGTGTTAGCCATGTGGCTTGGTACCTTTTATCAGTGAGGCATTCTCATCTTGCTTCCTCTTGGTCTGGGTGACGACTGTGGACTGACTCTTTCCTCTTCCCAGAATTCTCCTGTTCTGGTTGCCCCGCCTATACTTCCTGCCTGGCTACTGTTCAATCAGCATTTTATTAAAATACAAGTGACAAATCTTTACAAAGTACAAGACCATTGTCCCACAGCAGTGGGCTGCATGTGCTCTACCCATCTGAAGTCATCCCAGTTCACCGTCACAAGTGTGGGAATGTTTCAAGATCCTCAGGGAAAGACTCGAGGATGGAACTTGGAAAAATGTTTCAATGGCGCCTCTGATGGGTTAGTGTCCCGTCCAAACACATTTTAGTTTCGAGTATACTAGGCTGACAGAATAGAACCTTTGCTGTACAGAATGTCCAGGGTGGTCACAGAGGAGGTTGCGCTAGGGAGGGTCAAGGGCAGGCTTTCTGAAGAGTATGGCGCCAGAATGGAGCCCTGCAGGGCAAACAGCTGGTGAAGAAGCAGGGCCAGGTCTTCCTGGCAAACAGCCTTGCAGGTGCAAAGACAGAGAAGGGTGGCTCATTCAGAGAGCAGAATGATGAATGCATAGGACGGGGATGGGAAGGGAGGGGAGGTTTCCATGGTAACCAGTGTCTGGACCATGTTAAAACACTCATATACAAAGGGAGAAGAAGAGTCCACAGTATCTACAGGCTTCTGGCCCAGGGCAGTAGAGGAAGGAGTCTCATTAACTAGCCCAAGAAAGCAGATTGAGTGGGAAAGTGAGACAAGTAGTGGGGTTTGAGGAGCTGGGAGGAGAGTGGAATGTCACTGGAGGTCTGGGAACATGAGATATTGTTGGGGGCTGTGGACCCCCAGACCTGATTTCTTGTAAACAACTTGCTTGCAGCTGCTCTGAGCACAAGACGGGAGTGGGTTCTGGTGACTGCAGCTGAAAGGTCCCAAGAGCTGGGGCGTGGCCAGAGCACTCTATAAGCTGCCCCTGAACACAATAAAGGGGGCATTCTTGTACCAAGGACGACCCGTGTCCCCATGTCTCTCTGTCTATGTGTCTTTGATTAAATCTCCAGGCCCCCTTCCAGGCTCGCAAACCATACCATAGCATGGCGTAGCGTGTAGAGCAGACGCAGGCTTTACAAGATATTATGGGCCAGGAATGGAGAGTGTGGCTTACGTACCCATACACAGAAAATCAAGAAGTCATGCTGGAGGCCAGATGGCCCAGAGAGAAAGGAAGAGGCCCTGGGGCAGGCTCATGGGAGAAAATGGAGTGTCCCAAGGGATGAGGATGCTGAGATGTGGGTGGGAACCAAGGAGAATATAGAGTCCTGTGGAGCAAAGATGAGGCAGGGGGATTACTTTAGTCAAAAGCTACTGAGATGTGTCAAATGAGCTCTCAAGCCTTGCCCTTTAAATCAAACAAATGGAGGTGGCTGGCAGCTATGATGAGAGTGGATCACAGAATGGTAAGAATCCGGGAGCCATGTCTAGGGGTGCCGTGGTGCACAGGTTTTAGAAGCGTGGCTAGGAGAGGAAGGTACTTCAGGGACAGATGAGGGCTGTGGGTCAAAAGCAGCTCCAGGGTGGGATCATGGGGCAGACTACACGCTGCAAACCCCGCATAAACCTCATTGTCATGGCAGATGTGGAGAACCAGCACAGCCAGCAGGGTGTGAATGTAACGGAGAGGCGGCTCGTGTATCTAATTTTCAGTCCATCCTTCCATTAGAACTCCGGTGTTTTCCATCTGCCGTCCCTCCACTCAGATGCTCTTCAGTACCTGGTAGGCTTCACACTCATTTCCGTTTTGTGATTAGACCCAAAGCATAGCCGTTTTCAAGTGGTGACGAGAGGCCCAGCATTAAACGTCAGAGAATGAGAGTGTGGGGGCGAGGGAGGAAAATTACAAGAGAGGGCAAGGGAGGGAAGGAGGAGAGGGGGAGAGGAAGGGGAAGTGAGAAGAGGGTGAATGCGGTGGGGGACAGCGGAGAATGGGAACAGAGAAGGACGAGAAGGAAGAGGAAGTGAAAAGGCGGCTGGGGCACAGCTCAGTGGGAACACGGGAAAGGCTCTCAATTCAATCCTTAGTACTGCAAAGAAAATTAGTAAGTAAGTTGTCTCATAGTTTGAATTAAACAAAAAAAGAAGGAAGGAAGGATGAGAGGAGACAGGAGAGATCACTCTAAATCGAGGGAAAAGGATGGCTCAGACTATGAAGAAAAGGAGAGAGGGATGGAGAGGAGAGAGTAGAAGAGAGGCGGGGAGGACATATTAAACTAGGGAACCGTCTGAACCAGTGCTGCTGCTGTTTTCCTAAGACAGTCATTATGGACCGTCCACTCCAGATCAGGCTGTGTCTGCCCGACTGAGTCCAGACGACAGGCAGGGGAGGCTCAGGCTGGTTGGTGTCCATGGAGGCAGAAGGCAGCTGCGAGAACAGAGCTATAGACGGGGACAGAAGACTCACAAAAGCATCTCCCCAGTCCCCGGGACCACGGAGCTTCCTGGCTGGCAGGGGCGGGGCAAGCTGTTCCTTCAGGGAGCCAGAACTAAGAGGAAATCCCGACACGGGTTCAGCGGGCAATGAGAGCATGAGCCAAGGAGTCACCTTTCTGGAGCAGGACAGTTACGGATTTAGAATAATCAAATGCCCTGGAATGTGGGGGCTGGCAGCATGGCTCGGAGGATGCAAGCATTTGTTATGAAACCCTGACAGCCTAAGGTCAATCGGTGAAACCTAAGTAGAGGTGGAACCAACTTTACAAAGTTGTCCCCTGACCTAGACACACATTCGGGGGCACACATGCCACACCCACTCATATCACACACACACAAACACAATTATAAATTCTAAAATTAAAAAGAAAATGGGCCATGGATTAGAATAGAAAAGTACATTGGGATTAAAAAGGGCCCACGCACCATGGAGTCTTATCTCAATGTATACAAAGATTTTAAATGTGAGAGTATACTAGGGATGTGCTTGAATTACTCGGAAGCACGCTGATTTCCTACTTGGAGATGCTCATGGAATGTTCTTGATATCCCTCAAGAACGAGATGCATGACTGGCTCAGAAACACCCCCAGAGGAAAAGGGACTGTGTAAGATCAAAGTGGTAGGTCAGGACTCACTGTGAAATCATCTCAACTTCCCTTCTGTTTGGAAGGTTTTGTAATAAAGCCCTGCAGAGTTTATCATCCTAGCTGTTGCCTGAATATTGCCTTGGAGGAGTCAGGGAGCCAGGTTGAAGGACCCACATGTGACTCTGGCTGCAGGGAGAAGCAGACATCCTCGGGAGGGCATTTGGATGGACAAAGGAGAGTTGGATGGCGCTCTCAGTCCAAGTTACAAGCTTGTTAAAGACCTTCGGTTATTAAGAGGGTGGGGAGCGAGCTCAAGAGTTAGAACCCTGAGCTGCAGAGAAGCCTTGCTGCTGTCTCTGACTTCCAAGTGTCCTGGGACATCCTAGCTTTTCTGCCTGTCTTCAAAATCACTGCTTTGGATGACCTGGTAAATGGTGGGAGGACAGGAGAGCCATCACCATCCAGCATTCCTTGCGACCCCAAAGGAGAGAGACTTCAGGTCACTCCATCCGCTGCCCCCCCCCATCCTTCAGAATAGCCTGAGCCTCTTCCCCTTGCCATTTCATCGTGTTGTTGTTTCCAGCTGCTTTCGAGCGGCTCCATCCACAGCCGGCCCCGATTTAGCAGACTTCAGTCAGAAAACAGATTTCTCTGGAAGGCTCAGCCACAATAAGGCAAAATGAGCTCTGCTCAAGGACCTCAAACTGCTTCTCCAGGGACAGATGCCGGGCTAATGGCTCTCTTGAAAGGCAGCCTCTGTAATTGCCCCTCCCTCCCTCCCTCCCTCCACCTGCATCCAACGCTGGCTATAATTTCGACTCATTTCCTCCAGCTTTGTCTTGGCGGTGGCTAGCCAGTTCCTCCTTGTCCCTGTCCCCTCCCTGTGAAGGCCAGTTTTCCATTTCAGTAATGACTGTGTGACTCATTTCTGGATTCTTGCTCTTGCCACATGCACAGCCATTTAGAACTTAACGTTCAACACCATTCTCTTACTTGTTAAGGCTCGCTGCTTCCTGGGCGTCTATGAAGTAAAGGACACGCGTGCCTGTCTCTGCTGCCACTGTGGACACTGAAGCAAAGAGACCCATCAGCAGAAATGCCTTTCCATTCGGTGTCTGACTCTCAGCTCTGCTGAAGACAGTATGTGGAAGCTGGATTGGTGGCCACACTGTCCAGTCCCTTCCCCCCAAATCCCAGCACACAGCTCCCACTCATACACAGTCTGACTGTGGCATCTGACTCCTATTTCAAAGAAGACTCGAGACCTAGACAGTTCCTACCCTTCGGTCCTGAAGGTCTCCCCCTCACCTGGTCCATAAGCGTTAGCTGTGAAGTCAAACAAGCATAGTCTAGATCCCAGCTCATTCTCTGAGCCTCTGTTTCCCCTACCTCTGAAGGAGTATGCTCATTTGGGGGATTCTTGAAGGCAGTAAGTTAGATTGCGTGTCAATGCCTTAGCCTCCAGCCCCACGATTAGCCCTTGGGGATGCTCAGTACTCGGTACCCAGGTGAGGAGAACACCACCTCCCCCACTCACTCCCGCACATAATTAATATGCTTTGCATACTGACTGGAAGCTGAACGTCTCGGACTGTTTATTTTGTCTTCCTCAGTGGGAAACACAAGTGTTTGTTTTTATTTTATTTATTTAGTATAAAACTTGGTGAATTGACTACTTCTCCTTTGGAGACAGAACATAAGAAAGAAACAAAAACGGGACATCACTGCCAATGGGACCTTTGGAGCCGAGGTCACAAGCCACACACTGTGCAAATGCATGCTGTCCCTGTGCGTGCCTAGGGCTGGCTTTTGTTTCAACTTTGCTGCTTAAACCCTTGGTTCTCCAGGACTCCTCCTGTCTCCTCGTGTTGTTTGCTCTGCAGTTGGCTCCTGATGCTGTGAGAGACACCAGGTGGAACGGAACAGGGGACGGGAAGGGAGCTCCAGAGAACAAAAGATGAGAAGGAAAGTCGCTAGGGTTCCCCTGCGCCAAGACCTTCTCATGACCTCTCTTTCCCAACAGTCCCTGCCAACAGCTCTCATCACAGGGCGGCAGAGAAGCTAATCAGTCCCAGGTTCTCAGGGGTTAGAAGCGGTGTTGCTGGCTGCAGGGATCGCTGGTTTCTCCACAAGACAAACCCTTGGCTGCTCAGCTCGAGCCTTGCTGCCCTCTGCACCTGTGTCTTGTAGAAACCGAAGAGGGATATAAAGGCAGCAGCGGGTGGAGCGCCCTCAGCCCTCAGCCTGCACCGGGAGAACCCTGCCTTGAATGTGAGTGTGAAAAGAATGCCCAAAGGCTGGCGTCTCCCCTCCATCTTCCCTTCCTGGTCTTTGAGAATTTTTGTTCTCTTTGCAAACTTAGAGTTGGTGCTGTGGGGAGAAGAGTCTTTGGTTTAGATTTGAGAATGGGTTCCTCAGTCAAGTCTGGGTCTCCAGTCCCTAGGCTGTCTGAGGTGCTCGACTCAGGCTAGACTGCCTGTGTCTAGGGCAGGTTTCCACCAGGCTTAGGGACAGACAGAGGAGCTGTGAGGCCCGGTGTGGGTGAGCTGAAGCAGAGTGAGCCTTTGCTACGGCAGAGAGGGATCTCCCTGTGCACCCCTCACCCCTCGCGGGGCCAGTACAACCCAGAAGAGAACTGGAAATAAAACGTGACAGCAGAGTTCCCAGCATTGGCTGGCCCGGCCGGATGCTTAGGGTAGCACCGAGCTAGACGGGAGCTGGTTGAAGTGAGCTTCTGCTTTGAGGAAAGGGCTCTAGTTGGAGGGACAGAGTGGTGATAAGCTGCTCTGAGAAGCTGTGGGCCTGGAGTGTACCCGTCCTAGGGAATAGAAATAGGATTGACACCTGATCAACCATGCCCTTTGGTCTGCTTGCTTACTGGGGACTAGTTACTTGGCCAGGAGACTGGCTGTGGGCTGGGATCAAAGCTCTAAACTCCCAGTCCATACATCACTGAGTTAGCAGAGCTGTATCTAAGTGTAGAAGGACTTGGAGCCATTCCCTACCTGCCCTCCTCTTCAGAGCTGGCTTTTTTTTTTTTCGTTTTCTTTTCTTTGCCCTGTTGCTGGTTTGGTTTTTGCATCTCTGCAATGGTTGGTGGTGGGGTGTCAGATCCAGGTATTATTTTACCTGCCCTGCATTCCGTAACGCTCCTCTACACAGAAAGCTCAAAGAGCAGCCAGAATGTTCCAGTGACCTAAGGGAGCCTTGGAGCCCCTACTCCATCTTTAGTGCCTGGTGTTTTGGAGGGGTTGGGATGGCTGTCCTCTAGCCCAGGCTTTTCTCTGCAGCAGGTCATGGCACAATGGTGGCAGATCCTCTTGGAATTGTGGATGGTCATGCCCACCTTATCAGGGGACAAGCCAGTCAACATCTGCATGAATGCCAAGCACCACAAGCAAGAGCCTGGCCCAGAAGACAAGCTCTACTTGGAGGTACAGGAACAAGAGCTGGCCCCGGGGTAGCTTCTTAGGTTTGTTAGAGAAGGAATACAGGCAAGCTGGTCCCTGTACTCCGTCAGCCCATTCCATCAGGTTCCTTAGTCTGGGTTTCTTTACCCCGGATTTTGACCCTGAGCTGCTCTGGTCACTTGGGAAACAGGTCATGTGGTGATCCCAGAAGCCCTATTGGCTCACCAGGGGTCAATGCAAGCCTTCCTACCAACATGTACTGGCTAGACACAGGACTTAATGTGTTTCCTTGTCGGTCTCCTAAAGGCAAATACAGGGCTGTGGGGAGAGGAACGTTCCAACTATCAGTTCCTCCAACCCATCATCATAACCAGGTTCCTGACTCCCCACGGGACTTCTTTCTGTTTGCTTTTCTGGATCTATTTCCTCCCTGGAGCTGACATCAGGATGCTACGTTCTGCGGCAGGTAGACAAAGCGGAGGTCAGTGGTCAGGCGCCTCCTGTTCTTCAGGGCATGTTGACAGATACCCTACAGAGCTGCTCAAGATGTCCCTTCTCCTGGCACCCTCTGCCCAAGACCCTGAACCCCAGCCTCTTACCCACTGCCTGCTGCTTCTCCCTCCACGTCCAGTGTGTCCCCTGGAAGGACAATGCCTGCTGCACGCCCACCACAAGCTGGGAAGCCCACCTGGATGAGTCCTTGCTCTTTAACTTCAGCATGATGCACTGTGGACTGCTGACCCCCGTCTGCCACAAGCACTTCATCCAAGCTATCTGCTTTCATGAGTGTTCCCCCAACCTGGGGCCTTGGATCCAGCCGGTGAGCAGATGGGAGGCAGACCCGGGCAATACCCTGCCATTAATCCTAGGCGAGTCGGGCTAGGAGATGCTGTCCCTCTAGGGATGAAAGCAGAGCCAGAGGCCTGGGAAAGAGATGAAGAGGGAGCCGCCTCTGTCCCCGAAGGATAGCATGGGGACACTGTCTGATGTGGGCACTAGGATGAGATGCGCCTGAGTGTGACTTCCAATCCCTACTTACACACCAGATAGCCCGGGACAAATAGCCACTCAGCTTCACAGTTCTCATTTATATAATAATAATAATAATAATAATAATAATAATAATAATAATAATAATAATAAAATACCTCGGACTAGGAGATGGCTCTGTCAGTAGTGCACTTGCCACACAAGCATGAGGACCTGAGTTCAATCCTCAGAACCCATATAAAAAAGCTAGGTGTGGAGGTGAGCTGTTATAATCTCAGCACTACAGAAGCAGAGGCGGAGGCAGAGGCAGGTGCGTCCTCAGGCTTGCTAGCCAACCAGCCTAGCCTGCTTGGTGAGCTCTGGGCCAGTGGGAGACACCGTCTTTAAGCCAACATGAATGGTCCCTGAATAACAGCCCTTGAGACTGTCCTCTGGCCTCCACTCAGACACACACACACACACATTCACCTGTTCTTCCAGAATGTGCACACGTGCACAAGGCAAAGAAAAATACATAAGGACTGTATAAAGGATTAGACATTTCCCCCTCTCTCTTGCTGCACCCAGGTGGCCCCGGACAGGCAAGAAGAGCGGGTTTGGGGCGTGCCCCTGTGCTGGGAGGATTGCGAGGAGTGGTGGGAAGACTGCCGCTCTTCTTACACTTGCAAATCCAACTGGCGTCGTGGCTGGGACTGGAGTCAGGGTAAGTGGACTGACTGGGTCCTTGGTGGCCACCAACCTGGGTGAGGGTGCAAGCCTTCTTCTATCCCCCATGATAATGGGGACATGGAAGAGAAGGGACAATGGGAAGTGAGGAAACCATCCTCAACCCCTACAGGAAAAAACCGCTGCCCGGTCCAGGCGCCTTGCCGCCCTTTCTCGGATGTATTCCCCACCCCCACTGATCTGTGTGAGAAGATCTGGAGCTACACATTCAAGGCCAGTCCTGAGCGCAGGAATAGCGGCCGGTGTCTGCAGAAGTGGTTTGAGCCCACCCAGGACAACCCTAACGTGGAAGTGGCCCTCCGCTTTGCCGGCTCTGCCTCAGCCCGGGAGCTATCTTACAGCCTCTCAGCCTTCTCTCTGTACCTGCTGCTCCATTCCTGAGGGTCCCCTCTCCTACCCACATTCCTTGATCCTGCTGGGTCCTGGCCATGTCCTTCCTCAGACTGCTCAGGGTGAGAGCTTCCAGGTCCCGTTCACTGCTTGGCTCTGCCTCCGCTGGCCTGGACGGCTGCTGGTACCCAGCAGTCTAAGGCAACTTGTTTTCCCTGCCTTTAGGGAAGGTACAACTGTAGGACTCCCCACACTTCTCATGTCCACACCCCTCCTGTTTGCTGCACAACAGACAACACTGGCAGCCAAGTGACCTGTCCTGCCATGGCACCCTCAGTAAACTGACAGGGAAGCTCTCCTTCCCATGAGCCACTCTTTTCCAGTCCCATGAGTACCAACCCAAGATATGTAAAGAGGGAGCTGATTTGTCCTCATTAAGATTTTAATTTCCTTGACTACTAATGGGGTAAGAATTTTTTTAGTATTGGTCATTTGGGATGTTTCTCTGTCACACTGTGTGTGTATCTCCATCCTTTCCCTCTGTCCCTCCCCCTTCCTTTTCTTGAAAAATACTCTCCCGTATCCCAGGTTAGCCTGGAACTCAAGGATGACATTAAACTTCTGATCTTCTTGCCCCCACCTTCCAGTTGCTGGGATTGTGCACATATGCCACCACCCCTGGTTTCATGCCGTGCTGGAGAGCTAACCCAGGGCTCTGCACAGGCTAGGCAAGCACTCTACCAACTGAGCCATATTCCACCCCCTCTTCCTCTTCCTCCACAGTCATAGCATTCTAGTCTTGGATTTTGGACCCTTGAGCTCTATCTAGGCTGACTTTTCCACTGTTATTGTACTTTCCCCCAGTTGAGAACTGAACCTAGGGTCTTATGTGTGCTAGGCATACACTAAATCCCCAACCCAAGATCTTTCCGCTTGCTCTGGAACATTTGGTAATTTTTTTGGTCTTTGTATAACACTGCTTTGATTTCTCCCCCATGGAGAGGAGTGAGGCGCTGGACCGGATGATTTAATTTACAAAACCAGGAAAGGAGAGACATCCAGGAGCCCCATTTACTGTATCATGGAAGGAGCAATAGCCAGCAGAATGAGACAGAAATGCAGAATTAACAGTAGAAGGACCATTGGCTTCAACTCTCTCCTATGAGCAGACTCAGTGCGGATCTGCACACTAGGGGTCTTTCTGAGTCTGAAGCTGACCCCTCCTAGCACCAGATGGTGACTTCCCTGTCACTTGTGTGTGTGTGTGTGTGTGTGTGTGAGAGAGAGAGAGAGAGAGGGAGAGAGAGAGAGAGAGAGAGAGAGAGAGAGGGAGAGAGAGAGAGAGCAGGAGATTGTCTCAAGATTGCTGGTTCTTGTCTGAAACAAACTCTGTTCATCAATAAACTCAGCATGTATCCTTCCTGTGCTTGCTTATTCATGAAACAAATATGTCCCCAGGAGAACACTAGAATCACCAAACCAAGCGTGGAGCTCAACAGTAAGAGAGGACAGATGGCAGCAATGGTGGGAGCAGACTTGTAGATGGGATGTCTGGAGGAAAGGACCCAGCTAGATGGGTACTAAGAGGGGCTCACCAAAGCAAGACTTGAATTCCCACAGAGAACAGAGAGAAAGTTCTCAAAGCATGCCGAGGCAAAAAGTATATACACCTTCAAAATTATATACAGGGAGCCAGGCATGGTGGCATGCACCATGGCATCTGAGGCAGGTGATTGCTGCAAGTTTGAAGGTAGCCGACATATAATATAGGAACACCCCACCTCCATCTGTCTCTTCAGATCGAAGGACCATGGGGAATGGGATCTGGGGGAGTCTCGCTCATACAGTCAAGAGCTTAATGATTTCTGAAGTGTTTTTAGATATAACTGTAAAATTCACCGAAGTAGAGTTAAGACTGAGGTGAAGAAAACAAGACTCATCCTGTTAAATAGTCAGATGGCCACTTGCTGCTCAAGAAGTACTCTAAGCATGCAGCATGTCGTTTGAATTTCATGGAAGCCTTGATGCATGGCCCTTGTCTCTGTTTCTCTGATTAGAACATACCAGCCAAGTCTAGCGCTCAGCTCCAGCGGACCCTAGGTTCAGTCAACACAGAAGTTCCACCTGATTTCACAACTTTAGCCTATACTCCCAGTCCTAGCCAACCTCTATTTTCAACTGATCCCCATCTCCAGCTGACCCCCATCTCCAGTTAATCTCCCATCTCCAGCTGACCCCCATCTCCAGCTGATCCCTCATCTCCGGCTAATCCCCAGCTCCTGGCCTCCAGTGGCCTGAAGTGGAACCGATGTTAATAGGGGAACAAGGGTAGAGATGGGGGACAAACCTGGGAGAGTTCATGGTGGCTAAAAGAGACAGATTCCTGCCCTCTTTTACTTTTGAGATAGTGGAAGTTTTCATCAAAAGAGAACTGTTGAATTTCAAATTGTTTTGACCAGAGAGCGAGTTAACACACATGGGCCCAAGGACTTCCAACACACGCTCAGAGACCCAGCCACCCCACCTTCCTCTACTCCAGGCCCATGGCTGAGCAGTGCCCACTCATGACCGTTTATCTACACAGTTCATTTTAACTGCCTCTTCTCTTCCACTGTACATTCAGGCTACCTTGTCACACTCTGCCCTGCTAGTTTCTTGAATTCATCTTCTACTCTCTCTCATTTCAGCGGTCCGTGTTTAATTATTTCCAGTGATGTTTTCCATTCCCTAGTTTCCCACAGACTGCTGTTTTGGGTGTAATATCTTCTCAAGTCTCACTGAAGATCTAATTAAAATCTTTTTCAAAAGCTTGGCTCCAGTCTCTAAGAGACGCACTTCCAAGGTCTCTCTGTTCTGTTCTCTGATGTTTTCCCATGCACGGCTGGTTTTCCAAGTCGGGTGACTTTGGCTGTCTGTTCACAGTTAAGAATGAAGGCTGGGGTCATTTTGTAAAGCTGATTTGGTTTCCTGCATGGCTGTCTATATGCTGCTGGGGAATTCTAGATGTGGTCTGGCTGGGGCTGTCCGTGGAAGACTCTGCTGAAGAGCACAGAGAGGAACAAACGTCACCCAGAAGGGTCCCAGGAAAGGCTGTTCATTCGGGGCACGCTGTGTAAGATGCTTGCATTTTGGCAGAGAATCGAAGGCAGGGAAGAAGGCTTTGGATCTGCCCTGAAATGTGTACCACTGCGCAGGGCATGCTGGACATGAAGTAGTTTGAGTCCCATATGACTGGGTGAAATAATATTTGGATTTCAACTACTTGGTTCCAATTGAAATCATAGACCTGAGGGATGACCCAGTGGTCAAACACACTGAAGGCACAATCATGGGGTCCAGAATTCACACCCCACTACCCACGGAACAAGTTAAGCACCTGGCAAGCACCTTTAATCCTAGCTCAGAGGGACCCCAAACCCCTTTCTGGCCTCCATATATTCTCACATGTGTACATCCTCACATACATGTACTTATACACCCATCCCCACCCACACAAATCATTAAAAACTAGGGAAATTAACAGTTACTCATCCAGCGCTTGCTACTTGTGTGACAGGAAGGAAGATATTCTGAAGAAACACTGTCCATCCGTCTGTCTATCAGACTTCTGAAACTGATCACCACCATCATGGGATTTCCCTAGGAACGCCATGCTGAGAGGAGAAACCTCTGATGCCAGTCAGAGGAGGAACTGGTCTCCCGGAAGATGTCACACAGTTCTGACACCTTCGCAGATCACCACACAGGGAAGACGGGAGCAGAGACAAGAGTGTGCGGAACTACTCCTTAACCGTGACTTCTTGGATGCTTCCTGCTCTCTGTTTAAACTGAAACCTCATGTCAGGGCTGCAAAGGCAGACTTGGCCGAGAGGTGTTTCCGGGCCCCTCTGCTCGTCTTCCATATCGGGACACTGAGTACATCTCCTTCCGGGGTCTCCCAGCGCATCTGTCTCCTAAGTGGCCAAGTGAGGAACAGGTAGGATTCCTGTCCTTGGAGATTAATATTTTAGTGAACGGTAGTATAAAAAAGGTAAGAAAGCAATGTTTAAAACCTCCAAGGACTATAGACAAGGGACTATAAAAAAGGAACACGGGGGACCCTGGGAGGTAAAGATGAGCCAGTCCTGGGATCGGTTCTTGGGATGATTGGGGAGTAAAGATAAAGCAAGGGAACAGAAGACGGGCAGAGGATACATCCAGAGCTGAGCGCAGGTTAGTGGGGCATCATGCTTTCTCTGTGGAGACAAAGACAGAAAGGAGTTTAAAAGGAGTTTCAGAACGAAATGCTTCAGATATAAACCTCTGACTCAATTAGCACCAGGCTTTGGCCGTCTGCTGAGTTTAGACACTCAAATTTGGGCCCTGGGGGGATTTCTGGCCACAGTGTAGGGTCTGGGCAGCTGGTCCTCATGGCCGGCTTTCCGAGTTCACAGCCCAGACAGCTTATCTTTCCTCAACCATATGGCGAGGATAAGCTTCCTAGAGGACCAGACTCAACCCAAGGGTGAGATTCAGAAGGCTGGGAGGATTATTTTCAGGGTAACGACGCTTTATACAGAGCCTAAAAGTTGGCACTAACAACAGAGAAAGTAAAGGAGCTTAAAGCGCTCCCACCTCTCTGAGCCCCACATTGGTCCACAGAGGCTATGGCTGGTGGAGGATACTGGAGCAGCTGCTGCTGGTGAAGCTGATGGGCTCTGCCCTCTGACTGCTTCAGGCAGGAAGGGCCCAGTACTTAGCAGGCCATGATACTCCCATTCAGTGGCAAGCATTGGGAGGGAGGAACAATTTCTCCTAGGCTAGAATCTGGTACCATAACAAAAGCATCAGCAAGCTGGGTCAGATCAGAGACCTGAACAAACAGGCAGAAGATAGCTTGGTTCAGCTAATCCTTGGTGGACACGTGTCATGTATAGCCCCCTCCCTCCAGCCCCTCAGAGTACCACAATGGCTGCAGGAAGTTGTGGGGTGCAATGAGGTGCAAGGGGTTCATTAGTAAATACTCACTGTGTTCAAAACCCATTTCCCAGCTCTGGGAAGCTGAGAGTACTTCCCAGTATATTTGTGTAACAAGTTTAATCAGTGCCCTTTCAATAACACATAGCATGCGTCATGAATTGCTACCCGGGAGAACAGAGCTCTGATCTCTGAAAAGCTGAATCTGATCAAATAGAAAAAAAAAAAAGATGGAAGTGTCCAGTGATTGGTTAGGTGTTGTGGGCTCAGAGGACACTGGGGTGAACCACTCCCTTAGCCTCAGAGAACTGAGCAGAAAGATCGTCATTGCTAGTCAGAAGAATCTGGCCCTAGAAAGAGGCGTGACACCCTGAATGGCCCTAAACATTACTAATGGATAGCTCTCTAAGGCTGACTCCAAAAACCCTGCGCACAGCTGTGGCCAAATGCCTACCTTGATATCACACAACACTGGCACCCACAAAGCTCACATCCAAGCAGAGAGCCAGAATTTGGTTCCCAACACCACCTCAGGCTACTTCTAACACGCTCTCTTCTGACTTCCTCAGGTACTGCACTCATCTGAACAAAACCACACACATATGGCCACAATTAAAAATAAAAAATGAAGTATTAAAAAAAAACACCCAGTCATGTTACAAAATAAAAGGTCAATAAACATCATAATGTTTTAAGCAAGTTGAAGAGTTTGTGTTGGGTGCATGAGGCCCATGCACTGCAGGCTGGACATGCCTGCTAGCAGGCTTTCTTGTATAGAGCAAGATATATCATTGCCTTCCTACAAGACTCAATTGCAACTGTCAATCACTGGGAAGAAACAAAGTCATTCGGAAGAACTGCTTGTTCTAGGAATTTTAGAGAAAAGTATAGACCTGTGTAGAATGCCAATGGCCAGGACACTTTGGCTCCTGTCCATTCTCTCCCACTTGAAAGTCTGCTGTACTTGGCAATAAAATTGCCTTATCTTCGACATTCCCTCTGAGTTCTTTTAACCAAGAGACATAAAGATCAGGGAGGCAAGTGGAACACGGACAGAGACACTGGTGGGACACCATGGGTCCCTGCTACAAGGAAGGAAAAAGATGTCCACAGTGTCTCTCTCCTATCTGCTCTCAAAAACCTAGCAGCAAGAAGCATCTTTGACACATCATGGAGCGTCACTAACAATCCCAGAGCACTGGTAAGGAAAAGCTGTAGCCTACGGTGGTATTTCTCTCCACATCATGCCTTGGATCCTGCATCTGGAGCCTGCCACATTTCATGGTACATCTACTTCATGCTGGGAACATTCACACGTAGTTCGTCTGCCCATCTGTGCTCCTGTTTTAGAAAATGGCATACTACCCTGAGAACCTCTGTCACAGCTGCAGGAGATGAAAGGACACGCAACCAGGGCGATGGACAGATAGAGTCACTGGCTCTTGAAGCAAGGGGCAGGTGCTC